GCAAGGTTACAAAAAGAAGGGGGAGACAGACTTCTCTTCTTGTTCTAAGTCCCGAATGCCAACACTGCTGAGGACACTACTGCATTCCTGTTGCTGTTTCTTTCTCTTTTTTTTTTTTAATTAATTTTTCAAATTTTATTATAGGGCACAAGAGCTTACCAGGGACAAAGAGAGAAAGGGAAAGTGAGAAATCACCCCCCACTCCCCGGAGGATGACCATGCCACAATCTCCTCTCCTCCATTCTCCTCTCAGGATTTTGAGCACATGCGCACACACCCAGCGTGTTTCTCAAGTCACCAGCTCTGGGACTCGAACCATGCAGTTGGCCACGTGGGACCCAGCACCTTAACCACCACACCACCTGCTGGTTCAGTCCCACTCCTCTTTGAGGGTAAACTTGCCTCGCTTGGCAAATGCTTATTGAGTCTCTCTTCTGGCATTGTGCTCTTAAGATCTGTACAGATGGAATGTGGAGCTTCTAAACTTTGGTTTATGCCATCAATGTATTTCCAAACACCAAAGCTATATAAATTATTTTTTGTAAATTAGACTCTAATATAAAGGCTCCACTTTAAAAAAATAAAGTGTCAAATGAGGATATTCTTTAAATGCATCAGAGGTACTTTCATTCAAAACAACTCCAGAATTAATGTAATCAAAATTTCCCATCTTGTTTTTTAATTATTGCTAGAGAGCGTGCACGTGAACTGTGAAAGGAAAGTGCCCTATGGGGCGTGGTCACACCATAATCCTTTCACCTCAATTTCTCCATTCCAATGGGATTTTGGACACATGTACACATGCCCAACATTTTTTTTTTTTTTTTTTGCCACAGGGTGTGTGCGCTCACCAGAGAGAAACAGAGAGACAATGAGAGGGAAAGTAAGAAACCATCCTTGGGGGGGCAGCCATGCTGCAATCCCTCCTCTTCCATCCTCCTCCTCATTTGGGTAGGCATACACATGCACCAGTATGATTTTCAAGCTGCCAGGCCTGGGACTCGAACCACGGTCGGCCCAGTGGAAGTTCAGCATTGTAACCACTACTCTACCTGCTGGCCCCACCCAGTGTGTTTTTCAGGCCATTACAGCCAGGATTCAAATAGCAGTTGGCCACGAGAAATCCAGCTCCTTTAACCAGAGGACTATGAGGCCAACCCTGTCTTTTTTTCCCTTTGTTCATGATAAGAGTGCATACCGGCACGTGCAAAAGCAAGAGAAAGAGAGAGAGCGGAGCACCCCTCACAGGGTCTGGTCACATTGCGACCCCTTCGTCCAGTCCTCCAGCCTGTCAGATTCTGAGCACTCACATGGCATGCCCGGCACGTCTCTGGCTGACCAGGCTAGGGATTGAAATTGTAATGCATGGGGACTCTGGCTTCGCTTGAGCAGCATATTACTGCTGCGCCACGGAGCCAGCCCAAGTGTTTCTGTCTTATAAAACAACGTGGGTTCTGTTACAATACAGAAATACTACAGAATCATGTACAGCCAGCCACCGAGAAAGATGAGCCCAGTCTACTGGACTCTGGAAAAGGCCCACATTGGGAGATGGTAAGCTGCAGAATAAAAAGTATAATCTTTTTCTTGTTTTTATTTTTATTATTCATGATTGTTATTATCATTAGCTATAGGGCATGTGTGCTCACCAGAGACAGTGAGAAAGAGAGAGGGAAAGTGAGAAATCAATTTCCCTTCTCAGTTCTCCTCTTGGGATTTTGGGCATGCATGCACATGTGCTCAGCATGTTTTTATGTTGCTAGGTCCAGGACTCAAACCATGCGGTCAGCCATGTGGGATCCAGCCATCTTAACCTCCATGCTACCTGCTGGCTGGCCCCTTTGTGTTGTTTTTAAATAAACAGATGCATGCCTGTTTACATTCGCATAGGAAACATCTGGAGGGGCCAGCAGGTAGCTTGGTGGTTAAGGGCACTGGACTCCCACATGGCCGACTGCAGTTCAAGTCCTGGAGCTGGCGGCTCACTTTCTCACTTTCTCCCTCTCTCTCTCTCTCTCCGTCCCTCTCTGGTCAAATTAAAATAAATAAATAAATAAAGTTAAACAAACAAACAAAAAGAAATATCTGGAAAGGTGTATAGCATCTTGTTAACCGTGGTTACCCACCAAGGGCATGAAATTTAACGCAAAGAGAAAGTAGAAATCCTAAGACTCACGTTTTAATTTGTGTATTTCTATACTATTGAAGTATACTGAGTAGGTTCTGCACTTACAGTAAAACCATGAACTAAGAGAAAAATAAGACAATGTGGTAAGTGGAAGGAAACGGCCTAGTGGTCAGAAGCTCATGCTCTCCTGGCCACTGAGTTTATGTGACTTTAAATTACATGTGTCCCACCATCCGTAAGATGGACATCTTTCTCAGGGAAAGTGGGGGGGACCAGGTCAGGCCGAGGTTCTTGCTAGCAAAGAGAACTGCGACACCCCAGATAAGGTCTCACTAAAGTGAGCTGGCCCATGGGGGAACCCACTCTGAGCCCTGGAATCATGCCTTCCTGCTAAACTGGAGTCAGACTTCCTTCTTCCCTGGAGGAGGGAAACACGAAATGCTCTTCCCTGGCTGACGGGAGGGACTCTAACACTGGTGAGGAGCTTCGCCCAGTATTCACATGTGAGGCTGCTCCAGTGCGTGCCAGCTGGAATCATTCAAAGTATCCAGGAAAGGTTTCTATTGCCCGTCAGAGGTGCAGACACCTAACTGGAGGTCAGCCTCTGCGGTTCTTTTCTTTCCCAACTTCTTCTCTAGGGCATGTGCACTCACAGAGACAGAGAGAGGGTGGGAAAGTGAGAAAGCACCCCAGGAGGCATGGCCACATCGCCATCCCTCCTCCTCCACTTCTTGGGATTTGGGGTAGGCATGTGGATGTGCCTGGTGTGTTTTTCAAGCCACCATTCCAGGACTTGAATCGTGGAGTCGGCCATGTGGAATCCATGCCACCTGCTAGCCCCACTTCAGGATTTTTGCTCTGCTCCGGTCAAACCCCTCCCGTGCCAGTGCCACCCCCTTCACCATACCTCGATGGGCTGCCACTCGCCCAGGACAAACACGTGCAGCATGTTCACGTCTGGGTCCTTGTGGAAGATGTTGGGCTTGGCATGATGCTGGAAGTGGCGATGGTTCCACCAGTTGGCAGAGGCACCCTGTGGGGGGACAGGGGTTGGGGTGAGCCATGCGGTCTATTGGAGTCTCGAGTGCATCCCTGATAGACCCCACATGAGACCTCTCCTGGCCTTTACAGCATTCAGAACCCACTTCTCCAACAACCCTGCTGCTATGGAGCCCGGAGCACTGGGCAGACTGGGCAGGCTGAAGTAGAGGCCAGTTGTCCCTCCAGACCTCAGCTCCCCCAGGCAGAAGCTGCTGATGGCAGGTGAGGAATGCTGGCATTGGACCGAATGGTCAGGGCTTTAGCAGGTACAGGGGGTGGTCTCTGCTCCCCCACTGCATGTCTCCTAGCTCAGTGTTAGTCAAGGTGAAGGGTGTAGGGGACAGAAGTCATCTGACCACGTGGCCCAGAAATGTCTCACCTGGGTATAGACCTGAGAGAAATACAAACAGGTCCATATAACAACTTACATACGAATATTCATAGCAGCCTTCTTCAAAATAACCAAAGAGTTAAAATGACTCAAATGCCCATTAACAGAAGCGTGGATAAATAGAATGTAGTAAACCCATGCAGTAGGATACCGTTAGGCTGTGTCAACACAGAATGAAGTACTGACGCAGGCTTCGTGGAATACACCTTGGAAGTATCTGCTAAGTGAAAGAAGCCGGCCAGGAAGAATGACGTATTACAGGATTCCATGAATATGAATTGCCCACAATAGGGAAAATCACAAAAACGGAAATACTGCTGGTTGCCTAGGGCAGGGGCTGGGAACAGGGAGAGGATGAGGGGCCTAGGTGTGACAGCTAAGAGGTGTGGGGTTTCTTTGGGAAATGATGAAGCTCCTCTGAAATTCACCATGATGGTGAATTTGTGCATCAATCTGTGAATACAGGGCTAGCTGGTGGAATGGCGGTGGTGGTGAAGGCAGCTGGATCCTACATGGCCAATGGTATGGTTCGAGTCCTAGACCCAGCAACTGGAGAAACATGCTGGGCATGTGTGCCCCAAATCCTGAAAGGAGAAACGGAGAAGGGACCGTTGTGTGACCATTCCTCGTGGGAGGTGCTTTCTTACTTTCTCCTTCTCTTTCTGTCTTTCTCTGGTAGTTCATATGACTGCTGGCAAAATTTTTTAAAAATCTGTGCATATACTTAATTTGTACACCCTACATAGGCCAATTGTATATGATGTGAATTATATCTCAACAAAACTTTTTCTAAGACAAAAAATACAAAGAAGACCACAAGTGGTCCCTGTTTTCAGAGAGCTCAAGGTACAGCTGGTCAGAGCGCCAGGCAGTGAGACATGCTGCTATACTGAGCCAGCTGTGACACCCAGAAGGTGACAGAGACAGCTGAATAAATAATTGCTAACATGTACCGGAAAGAGTTTTTCCGGCTCTAACATTTTTTAAAAAAATAATTATTATTTTTAACTTTATTCATTTAAATTTGACCAGAGAGGGACAGCGTGAGAGTGAAAGAGAGTAAGGGGGGTGAGGGGAAGTGAGAGAGCAAGCCGCCAGGTCTGGAACTCAAACTGCAGTCAGCCATGTGGGAGTCCAGCACCCCTAACCACCATGCCACCTGCTGGCCCTTGGTTCCAACATTTAAATGAGCTAAGATCCCAGGAGACAAGAAGCATAACATGAGTTTTTACTTTAAATCCCAAAGTTTCTGTTTCATTGGCTCAAACTTTGGATACATTCTGTGTGGGTGTGGCCCTCTACAAAGTGGCCCAGGGATACATGGACAGAAACGGATTTTTCTGACCCTTCAGAGTCAGAACTGTACCTGTTAGCTGCTGCCTGATCGTGCCGTGGCTGAGTCACGGATCACCAACGCGACAGTCTATTTGCTAAACAAGCATACAAACGTCGTACTTGGAAGATGCTTTCGGCACATAAAAGGTCTCTGACACAAACAGCCATGGAAGGGAGCTACCATGAACAGCTGTGGCCTCCTCCATGACCTTAGACTCCTGTAAGCAGACAGGACTCAAAATCCAGAGTGAAAAGCTGGTCAGAGAGTAAAAGCTCAGAGGCTTAAGGAATCAGATGACATACTATAGCTGCAGGAACGACATTCCGGGGAGAATCAGATGGAAAAGTCTCTGGCAGAAAGAAACTCACGGGTAAAGCTGCTACACGTCAGCACCATCTTTTTCCTTTTTAAGAACTATTTTTATTTAATTTTATTAATTACTACTATTCTTCAATTTGACCAGAGAGAGACAGAGAGAGACAGAGAAAGGGAGAGTGAGGAAGCAAGCCATCAAATCCAGGACTCAAAATGCAGTCAGCTATGTGGGAGTCCAGTGCCCTAACTAGCCACCACCATGATCTTTAGAGTATACCAACCAGGAGATGTTTGTTGAATGAATAAGTGGAGGAAACCAGAGTCGGTGGGGTGAGCAGTCACTGTTCCCCTGCACTTGGGATGAGAAAGATGAAAACAGTTTTCATTCATGGTATTCTCCTGTGATTATCCTCCACTCTTCTTCCCTATGCAAAACCCTCCTAGGGGCCAGCTGGTGGCACAGCAATAAAATATGATGTTCTGAGAAGCAGACCCACATCAGAAGGTTCTTGGTTCAAGTCTGGGGACCGCCATAAGTATGCTGGGCACTCACGCACCCATGATCTGATCCAGGGCTGGCTGAAGCAGGGGATGGATCACAGTAGCAAGACCTTTTTTGCCTCTCTTGTCTCTTTTGCTCATAGAAGAAATAAATACAGAAACTTAGAAAAAGAGTTGGGACCAGCAGCTGGCGTAATGGCTATGTCGCTGGACTCCCATGGAGTCGACTGTGGTTTGAGTCCTAGACCCAGTGGCTTAAACTCACAAAGGGTGCATGTAGGTGCATGCCCAAGATCCCGAGAGGAGAATGGAGGAGAAGGGATTGCAGCATGACTGTCCCCTGGGGGGTGATTTCTCGCTTTCTATCTCTCTGCCTCTCTCTGTCTTTCTGGTGAGCGCATGCGCCCTACGGCAAAAACCTCTCAAAAAAAGAAAAAAAAAAGAAAAAAAAAGAGCAAGAAAAACAACAAAACCTGTGAATCTCTGCCTGCCTCAGAACAGCGACCAGCCCCCTATGTTCTAGAATGTGGTGCAAATGTTGTCACTCTGCATCAGCTGCTGGGCTCAGCCTGGGCCTGATGTGGTGACCCAAGGGACAAACCATTTGTCCTCAGGGGTCTAAGGGGGAGGGTCCAGCACCACCACAGCAAGCCACAGTCACCAGGAAAGAAGCATGGAAGGGGGTGGGGGAGTCAAGGAGGCCATGTGGAAGAACTGGACTTCAGCCTGGGCAGGAGCAGGCCGGGCAGGGTGAGGGGCACTTTCCTGACAGAGGGAAGAGCCTCGGTGAAGGCCATAGTGGGAAGTGGGTAAAAGGGAGTATGGAATGTTTCAGAAGCCAAAGGAAGGTCCTTGGTAGGAGCAAGACCAATAGTGCTAAATGTAGAGCCACATCAGGGCCTGAGGCAAAATGGAAAATGTGCATCTCTGGCTTTCATGGAAGCAAAATCATTGATAATATTTTCAAAAATCTGAGTTTTGGGGGCTGTCCCCATAGCCTAGTGGGTAAGGGAGCCTGATCCCACATGGCTGACCACAGTTCAAACTCGGCCCCTGTGGACTGAAAAGCATGCTAGGCCTCAAATTCTGAGAGAATGGAGAAATGGAGGAGTTTTGCAGCGTGACCATTTAGTGGGCGCTTCCTCCTCTCCCTGTCTCTTTATCTTTCTGTGGTAAGCGTGCACACCCTCTGGCAATTGAAAAAAAAATTTTTTTAGGTTCATTTTCAATGAAGAGAATTGCTGAGTTTGCAGATTTCTGTTAGCCAAGTGACAAGTTTAAATAATTCTTGATTACCTTAAACAGAAGTGTACGACTTCTGTTTGGTATAAATAAAACATTTAAACTTGAAATCATGTTGTATCATTAAATACAGTGACTTCTCAATTTTTTTTCTTTTTGAGACTTTTTGCTATAGGGCACGTGTGCTCGCCAGAAAGACAAACAGAGACAGAGAGACAGAAAGCGAGAAATCACCCCCGGGGGGAATGGCCATGTCACAATCCCTTCTCCTCCATTCTCCTCTCAGGATCTTGAGCACACATGCACACATGCCTGGCGAGAGTTTAAGCCACCAGGTCTGGGACTCGAACCGCTGTCAACTACGTGGGAGTCCAGTGACATAGCCATTATGCCAACTGCTAGTCCCCAAATGCTATTTATCTTAATGATGATTAGGCGTGTCTGATGTCCCCTTAAATTATGCACCTAAGCCAGTGCCTCATTTGCTTCACCCTAATCCTGGCCCTGACGGCTAGAGAAGAAGCTGCAAAAAGGCCAGGGGGGTTTCCATCTCCAGATTCGGAGTCAGGGGTTGCCAGCCTCACAGATGGCATTTTATCCTACATGCGGTGCTGAGCAACGAGAGGGGTTTTAAGCTCAGCACAATATCTGTAGGACTAGCCCCTGGAAAAAAAAAATGGCCACCAGACAGATGTGACATGGGGTAAAGGAACAGGAAGGACGGATGTAAAATGCCCTATAGCGGTGTGGGCAGTGAGCAGCGGCACCTGGCCCCTCGGCCCCAGCACCCAGCTCATGGCCTCACCAGCGCATGCTAGAATGTCCGAGTTGGCAGGACCACCTTCCAGTCACCCTCTTCCCCACTAAGGGGATCAGCGGCACGTGGACTTACAAGTCTTGCACTACACGGTGTGACTGCCAAGGGCCAGAGTCAGGTTTTGGGTAAACTGCGGTATCCTCGCCGTCGGGGGTAACGAGTGAGCCACACAGCCACACCACTAATGTGCATCTGCGACAGGGTGCTAAGGACATGGCCAGAAGGGGTTGGAGAGCCAGGAGTGGAACTGATGTCCTGACCCCAAGGACCCTGTTTTCCATCATGCCAGAGTTCCAGCGTCACAAGCAAACTTCTATCTGGAGGCCAGCCCTCTGCGCTAGCATCAGCTTCTATCTGACACAAGAGCTGTGCTCCAGGCCCTCCTAGCCCCTGCCTAGGCCCTGGAGAAGGACACAGCCCATCTTTATGAAGTGCGAGGAGGATAACGTGGGGAGAGAGAAAGTGTTACTTTCCACTGCTAAGGAAGGTTTCGCCCAACAGAAAAGAGTATAAAATGAAACAAAGCGCTCTACTGTAAGCGCCCGCTCCGTTGGCCCCTGGAAGTCTGGACAGACACCAGGTTCTCAGGCTGCTTCAGGCTCAGGGCCAGGCAAGCTGCTTGCTATGGAACTGGTGACCAGTCCAGCAGTGGTTCAGCCCCAGCCCAATCGGCAGCCAGCTAGCCAAGGGCGCTGTGTGATCTAGGTCACAGAGAGGACAAGCTTACCCTAGAGCAGGTGGGCTTCCCCAGCCAGGTGGGCTGTCTTTAGGACCCAGCTTTTCACAGGAAGTAGCCAACAATAGATACTGCTGGGCAGGGCTGGGGTAGGAATAGTCTGTTTCAGAAGAAGAATGGACAAAGCTTCTTTCCAAAACCAAGACGACGAGGCCTATCAAATCAGCACCAGGTCACTGCCAAGTCCAAACTCCCTGAGCTTCTGTAGGCCTGCCTCCCGTCTACAGGGAGACCAGAATGGAACCACCTAATCTGCATTTTAAACAACGTGGTCCTTGGACTCAGAGGACCAGTTTATAGTTTGATGTCCCTTATCAAAGGACTTTCATGAGGACACTTACTTTTCATACCCCATGTATTCCCAAAGAGTATCTCAGATGTTTTATGAAAAAAGACTCAGATGCAACAGGATGGTTAAAATACAGATAAAAGCATAAATGACCTGTGAGGGAAGGGAGGATGAGTTTACCCAAAGCATAGACTAAGGAAAGTTGCTATTCCAAATGCCACTTTGTACTTCCAGGAAAAAAGAAGAACACGATGTATTAAAGAGCTCACACCCCAAGGGAGGGAAACATACCAATGCATCAAGCTAAAAGGAATATACTAGCTAAGTCATGAGCTAAGGAGTCTCAAATATCATTAACGGAGCCGACAGACAAAAGAGGTGCGTGGCTGTGTTTATAGTTAGTGCGTGGTGATCCGGCAGGCCTGACTTGATAGAGACATGATAGAGAGACAGAGCTCAGGAAGCAGGAGGAATGGAGGGTTAGTTATCCCACAGCATAGCCCACGCCAGCATCCACTGCTCACAGACAGACCTGCCGCCTTCTTCTTCTTCACTTTTTTGGTAAGTTTTTCCTATAAGGCACATGCACTTGCCAGAGAGAGAGAGAGAAAGTGAGAAATCACTCCCCTAGGAGGGATGGCCACATTATAATCCTTCTCCATTCTCCTGTCGGGATTTTGGGTGCACACACACATGTCTGGCATGATTTTCAAACCACCGGGTCTGGGACTCTAACCATGCAGCTGGCCATGTGGGATCCAGCACCTTAACCTCTATGCCACCTGCTGACCCCAGACCTACCTTCTTACCCTAAAGCCTTAGAGCACTGAGGGGAGAAGGGCCTTGGATTCAGAGTGAAGTGAGATGCCACTCTGTCAGCCAATAGGCCAGATGCCCAGGCCTGCAGATGTTTACCTTTAAGTGGCCAATGATGAACTTGTGGACAAGGTGGTTCCATGTGGACTTCTTATAGACAGAAAGGTGGCCGTAATCATGCTGCAGCCATCCAGCTTGGGCCTGGGGAGAGGGCCACAGAAGCGATTAGTGTCAGCAAGCAGGCCTCAGACTTCTGCAAGCTGGGGGAGTCGAAGGTTTGGGGGAACTTCAGTGACAGGTGAGGATGCCATGCCTTACCTGAGAGGTAGCGAGGACAAAGGCCGTGATGACTGTAGGAATCCAGCCATTGCCAAAGTAGAAGATGGTGAACCATGCGATGCTCTCCATGACAATGATGTGGGCCAGGAGGAGCAGGAAGAACAGGTGGTTGGCCTTGAACAGGTTCATGTCCTCGGCGGTCTTCTTCAGGGCCCGGAAGTCCTCGGTGATCTGAGACTGTCGCAAGAGCAGAGGGACAGGCATCAGCCACCCAGCCACTCTGGAAGGACCTACATTTTGGGCAGTCCTCTCAACACCCATAGCATAGCCTGGAGAGGCCGCAGCATGAGGGACCAGTCTGCAAGCCTCAGGCCTGTAGGAGCGTGGCTACTGTGTACTACCGTAGCCGTGGTTACCCTGCCGGCTACTACACCCGCTGTGTGCCTCACACAGCCCTGAACACCGCGTACTTGTCCATCGCTCGTTAAGCGGCAGAAAAAGGATTTGAATTGTGTGCATCCGTGTTCCCAGCAGCATTATTGCCAGTAGGCAAAAAGTAACAACTATCCCAACGTCCACCAATGAATGGAAGGACCATCACCGTGTGATACATATACACAATGGGATACCATCAACGTAGGACATTTCGTCACAGGCTATGACGGGGATCAACCTCGAGGACATAAGCTAGTCACAAAAGGACAACTACCCCAAGATTCTACTTATAGGAAATACCCAGAATGGTCATAGTCAAAGAAACAGAAGGTAGAATGGTGGGTGCTAGGGGCCGAGGAGAAAAGGAAAGGAGAGTGTTTAATGCGTAGGAAATTTCAGTGTTGGGGGTGGTACAAGAGTCCTGTAAGTGGATGACAGTGATGGTTACACAAGTGAATGTACTTAATGCCCCTGAACTACACCCGTCAGCATTGTTAAAATGGTATATTTTAGGGCCAGTAGGGAGCATGATAGTTAAGACACTAGATTCCCAGATGGTTAGCTATGGTTTGAGTCCCAGACCTGACGGCTTGAAAATCATGCCAGTGTGTTTGTGTATGTGTGCGCCCAAAATCCCAAGAGGAGAATGGTAAAGAAGAAACTGTAGAGTGGCCATCCCCCTAGGGGGATTTCTCACTTTGTCTCTCTGTCTCTCTTGGGCATGCACATGTACCCTATGGCAAAAAATTTAAAAAAAAAAAAAAAAGGAGGAGGTAAATGTTATGTTATACATATATTTATCACATTTTTAAAAGGGAAGATTATGTTTTTTACCACCCAGTGCTGCACCACTTGCTCTGGGTACTCTGCTGGGCTTTGAGGGGGTGGAGGTGGGGGTGTCAGATGAGTTTCCGGTGCCCCCGATCTCCGAGGAAAGCAGGAGAAACAGGTGAGCCCTGGGCACATGAAGCAAGTGGGAGAGGAAATGGAGCTGAGGAGGCTGAAGGCACCCAGGTACCCAGTGGGACATGACCCAGAGAAGGTGGTTTTAGTCACACGTGGGTGGAGAAAGCCAGATTGGGAGCCTGGAGGGATGCATGGAGCAGAATAGAAGAGGGGCTGTCAAAGCAGCTCAAGGGGGAGAAGTCAGTGGGAGCTGAGAAGCCAGGCCAGGAAGGAAGGAGCTGCAGGACACAGCAGAGACGTAGAAAGTACAAGTCAGGGATGGGCTGAGGAGGGCCCACTACCCTGGTGTTGGGGGCTGGGTAGGACAGGCATGGGTCAGGGTAAGCAAGGGAGGGACCAGCCTCCACAGGACACACAATGGCCTGCATCTCCTCGGAAAGGCCAGTCAACGGCAGTGGCTAGCCAAGAGTCCAGGCAGCTAAAGGCCTTGTGCCCAGCCCAGCTCCACAGAGGCTCCTGGGTGAAGAGGCTGGGAATTAACTACTCCAAGGTGGGGGGCAAGAGCAGGCTGATGGCAGGAGAAGGAAGGCTGACCAGGGCCAGGGTCTGACTGCCCCAGGGAAATGTCTTCCTGCACACACTCCTTCACAGGAGTGAGAGGTGGGAGGCTCAGTAGGAGCCATTGCCACAGGGGAACAGGGCCTGCAGTGGCCCAGGAGCAGAGGGAGCTCATGGACGCCGTGCCTGCTGCACCAAGGTCTCACACAGCCTCCAGGGCCCTGCCTGGCAATGACAGGGAAGTTTCCGTGGTGCCAGCCCCAGCCGTGGGATCAGGGCAGCCTAGTGCAGATCCACACACACTAACCTAGGGAGGGAATGGGACTGGGTACGTACCCTGAGCTCTAAGATCCAGGATAGATCCAGGCTTCCTTCTTGGGCAGGGGAAGTTTGGGGTGGAGGTGAGGGGCATGGCAGCGGGTGAGTACTAGAAAAGCTCTGAAGCTCACACTCTGATGCTCACGTTTGCACAGGGGCTGGCGCACGCGCTACTTCGCTGCTGATCAAGACTGCTGCACCAGCCTCCAGGGTTGTTCTTTTACTTATCATTGTCCTGGAAGCCCAACACCCAGCAGGGTGCCGGACCCATAGGAGCTGATGAAGAATGACTAAACGGTGGGTTTCCTTTCTCAAAGCGACCACTCATTCCAAAGTAGCCACACTGTCACAATGTGAAAGCCCTTGTTTATTATTACTACACTGTCTCTCTTAGACTGTCATGTGTGGGGCTAGCATTGGGCACCTTCTGGAAAGAAATGAGGAGGAAGAGGTGAAAAGCAGCTGGGAGAGAGGATGCTCTAGCTACCACCAAACGCCAGCTCCCAGCGGAGGCTCCTCCAGGACTGGCACGAAGGTGTCCCTGCCCTAGTTGCTCTGGTCCTAGGGTGAGGGGACCCTCTCCAGGACCCCATCACACTCCCCCCAGCCTCATCCCCACTTGTCTGCCAGGTTACAAGGCTGACTCACATTCTTGCCACGGTCCTGGCTGGGCTCTTCCGGGGCCAGCTCGCCAATCAACAGGGGCTTCATGAACTTGCGCACGAAATCGAGGTTGGGGTGAAAGGCACGGAAGGCGTCCTGGGGAGCAGAAAGGCAGGGGGTGAGGTATCCTGGGGTGCAGAGGAGCAGTGGTAACATCTGCCCGCCCTCGGCAAAGGGGACGGTGCTAACCAGCAGCATCTTTGCATCTACACTTGGACACCAAACAGGACCTCCCACTATCTGACCTCAAATGCTATCTGCAGCCTCTTCCCTAGGATAGCCCCCTAGTGCCCAACTCCAATAGCAACAGCCACCTGCACAGACATGGAGCACAGAGCTCACCAAGGGCTTGGGGGTCAGATAGGTGTACAGGCTGCCTTTGGGGAGGTCTGGAAGAGGTGCCCCTCCAGGGCAGTGCACAGTGTGGGCACAAGGCCCAGGGAGGATGTGAGCCTCAGCCTGCTCCTGAGTAGGGTGTCTCATACAGGGCGTGGCCTGCACCGCCCACCACCCTGTCACAGCTCCTCACCCACACGTCCACAGTCATCAATGAAAGAACAAGACTGAAGACTACTACAGCATGGAAAATGTGTTCAGGAATAGCAAACCACAGTCGGCCATGTGGGAGGCCAGTGACGTAACCGTTACACCATCTGTTGGTCCCGATCAAAGCTATTATAAATGTGTTAAGGTAGAGAGATTATGCCAGGCTTTATTTTCATTACGTTTCGAATGTTCTCTAACACTGCTATAATGTTATGCATTGTTACCTATTATTTTGATTATAAAGTAAAAAGGTGCTTAGTTTTGGCAAAGTTCAAAAATGTACAGAAGAGGCTCAGCCATGGCGGTGCAGCAATGACTCAACGCTCTGTGATGCTGGAGGCCACGTAGAAGACTGGGGTTTGGCGCCCAGGTCAACTACTATGTGCCTGGCACATGCACATTGCCTGAGATCCCGGCTGGCTGAAAGGAGGGGTGGGGTACTACAAGCACGAAGCCCTATGGAGGGAGCTAGTCTCTCTCTCTCTTTCTCCCTCTCTGTCTCTCAAAGAGGGGTAGGAGACTACAGCATGAGACCCTACAGAGGACACTCATCTTTCTCTCAATAAATAAGTAAATAAAACGTGCAAAAGAATGAAGAGGAAAATAAATACCTCTCGAAAAGTGACCACCATTGCTTTTAGTATTTTACCTTCCAGTTTACACATGGTGTGTATATTCCATAAATTATTCCATTAAAATATATTATGTCTATGAGGGAGGGCTTGTATAAAGTGCCCTGAGAGGAGGCGGTAGGATGTCCCAGAGGAAACAATATTTATCCTACATCTAGCCAAGGTGGAGCCACCTCCAAATGGAGTAACAAGTCAAACTGCACCATGAGAAAGTATCATAAAAATTAATGTAGCAGGGAAAAAAAATGTGTTTATGGGAGGAAGGGCTAGATGAAAAGAGACCAAAAAGATACCAAACTACAATGCTTAACCCAAAAGGCTTGTGTTTAGAGGAAATAAATGAGAAAAGTTATGCAAGACTTGGGACCAGCAGTTAGTGTAATAGCTATGTCTCTGGACTCCCATGTAGTCGACTGCGCTTCGACTCCCAGACCCAATGGCTTAGACTCATGTCGGGCACGTGTGCGTGCGTGCCCAAGATCCCGAGAGGAGAATGGAGGAGAAGGGATTGCGGTGTGGCCATCCCCCCAGGGGGTGATTTCTCGCTTTCTGTCTCTCTGTCTCTCTCTCTTTCTGGCGAGCGCACGCACTCTATAGCAAAAAAAACTTTCAAAAAAGAAAAAAAAAAAAAGAAAAGTTATGCAAGATTCTTTGGAATTAGATGAGAAAATATGAATATGGATCAGATCTAGATCATATCCAAGAATTCCTACTTTTTTTGTTTTGTTTTATTGTTTAGGTTTTTGCCATAGGGTTTGTGCACTTGCCAGGAGAGAAAGTGAGAAATCACCACCCCCCCCACCCCCCCAGGGGGATGGCCACACCACAGTCCTTCTCCTCCATTCTCCTCTAAGGATTCTGGGCACCCATGCACACACACCAGGCATGAGTTTCAGGTTGCCAGGTCAGGAATTCAAACTGCAGTCGGCCATGTCAGAGTCTTTAGTACCTTAACCACCATGCCACCTACAGGTCCCTACCTATTTTTTTAGATGTGACAAAGGTATTATGACTATGTTAGACTTTGTATTATGTTACAGAGTCTTCTCCTTATTCTCAGATGATGCTGGAAAATCTAGAAATGTGATCACATAATGACGAACCTTATTTTCAAAAGAAAATTGCCTGTGTATAGAGAGGGAGGAAGCAAACGTGCCAAAATACTAAGACTGATCAATCTTGGTTAAGGACGTACGGGTGTTCACTTATTCTTTCAACAAGCTGTAGGTCTGACAATTTAACATTTAAACTTTCATTCCAAATTTAGCAAAATGAGGAGACTGGGAAAATGCTGGCCGCTCATACAAACTTTTCACCCCTACACCAGAGTATCTGCCAGCAGCAACCGCTGGTCTGTCTTCTTATAGCATGCCCAGCTTCAAGTCCTTTCGCCTGGTCTTTGTTCTGTGTGCTTACAACAGACTCGGAAGACAATACTTTGTGAAGGAAAAAACTGGACCCAAGTCTTGGTTTCTTTTGTGTTTGTTTTTTTAGTTTTCGCCATAGGGCATGTGCACTCGCCAGAAAGAAACAGAGAGAGAGGGAAAGTGAGGAATCACACCCCCCCACCCCACCCGGGGGGAATGGCCACACTGCAGTCTTCCTCTAATCTCCTCTTGAGATTCTGGCACACAAGCACATGTGCCCACTGTGTTTTCCAAGTTGCCAGGTCCGGGCCTCAAACCACAGGGTCTACCATGGGGTCCAGTACCTTAACCTCCACACCACCTACTGGCCTCCTAAGGTTTTTCTTTTTTTTTTTTTTTTCCTTTTTTTCCCACTCTTGAGTGGAATGGGATGGCAGTAGATCAGATAAAGATTTTCAGAGAAAAGAGCCATGTTACTCCGAGGGCCCTTGGTCAGTAGCAGGGGGGGCAAGTTCCAGTGCTGACCGGCCACGCACTCCGGGTGGGGTGAGCCAGCCCCATCCTCATCTCCATCCCCCACCTCTGAAAGTGAACAAGGCCTTGAGAAAGACCCAATAGCAGTTGACCCGGTTAGGGCCCAGAGCTAGGCCTGAGAAAACCCCTTCCTTGATCCTCACATCACACCCCAAGGCTTTTGCGAAGCGAACAGGAACTCCTTGGTTAGGCAATATCCTGAGGAACAACTGCAGCTTCTGGTAACTACATGATTCCTCCCCGCGCTGGACTGCGAAGTGAACGCCAAGGACTTGTAGGAGTATCCGTCTCAGTCTCACTTCCCCACCTCCAGGTCCAGGTCACACAGAGCCAGGTGAGCCTGGCAGAACGAACAACAGAGCCCTGCTGTTTCCAGAGGATGTTTGGGGAGCTTACTTCCTTGAAGCCAGGGGAGGGACTTGCCACGTGCCAGGCAGGGAGCCAGCAACTTTGTTTATGTTGCTTTCCTCAAGCCTCAGAGCTCAGCTTTACACATGAAGACACTTGGAGCGCTGGAGGTGAAGTTCTGTGCCCCTGGTGGCAGAGCCAGGATCCCATCCAGATCCTCCTGCCTCCAGGGACTCCTTTGTCCCACACACCACATGCCTCCTCCCGTTTTAGAAAACCAACAGCTCTGTCGGATTGGCTCACTCTCTACGATTGATCTGGAAGCTTTCCAGGCAGACCTGGTGTAAATCACCCTTGAACACACCAAGCTCCTTCTACAGCAGGGCTGGCTCCCTTAGGGACTCAGCCTCAACATCCCCTCAGAGGGACTTTTTCCAACCATCCTTTTGAATTAGCATTCCTCAGTCCTAGTCTTTTTCTGGAATATTGCCTGGTTTTTACCTTCTTCTTTATTTTTTTCAGGTGTTTGCCATAGGGCACATGTTCTCACTGGGAGAGAGATGAAAAGGAGTGAAAAATCACCGCCCCATACCCACGGGGATGGCCACACCGCAATCCATTCTTCTCTGTTCTTTTGGGATTTTGGGTGCACCCATACACACGCCCAGAGTGATTTTCAAGCCACCAGGTCCACAGGACTGGAACCATTGTTGGCCATATGGGAGTCTAGTGCCTTAACCACTATGCCACCAGCTGGCCCCAGTTTTACCTTATTAGTAGCAGTTATCAAGATCACAAACCATGGCCAGGAGGTGGCATGGTGGTTAAGGTGGCTGGATTCTACTCACAGTTCAAGCCCCAGACTAAGTGGTTTGCAAAACATGTCAGAAGCATGTGAGTATGTGATCAAAATCTGGAGAGATGAAAGAAAGGATTGTGGTATGGCCATCCTCCCTGGGAGTTGCTTTCTCATTTCCTCTCTTTCTCTCTGAAGGGTGCACATGCCCTATTATAGCAAATGTTTTTAAAAATCACACACTGTATGACCTATTCACTTATGTATAAGTCTTTTTCCTCCACTCTGTCTTGTTCACAACAGAACCTAATAGAGCCCACAAGTGAACAAATAATTCTAGCACCCAGTTGTACACCCCCAAATCCTAGGAAACTCTCCCACCTGCAGTCACGTTCAAGTTCTCTTCTTCTACGTTTACACGACATGGTGTCACCCTTTCCACACACTCGAGATTGGCAAAACTGCCACCTGCTGAGGAGATGCAGGCAAGCCACCAGCAGGTTCCTATGGTGTGCTTGCCCAGTCACACGGCAGGTGTTAGCTGAGCAGTGAGTCAGGCGTGCCTACCTCTAAGGTCACACAGGGCCAGGTGAACCTGGCACAACCCGTATTCTCCTATAAATACGAAGGCCTCAATCAAAAGGAGCTTCCTCCCCGAGAGCTGATCATTGTGTCTCTCCTTTCAGATACATAAATATGCTTCACACAGTCAGAAGATTCCCAACCACTGTTTGGTTACAGAAGTGTCTGGCTGGTACGAGGCAGGCCATGGTGTCAGGCAAGGCAGGGCCAACCCAAACGTTGATTTTGGAACAAGACTTGGAACCAACTCTGTCCTCGACTGACAGGGAGAGAAGCCAAAGTCTTTCCAGG